TCTAGCAGAAATAACTTTTAAAACGTGTTTATATACTGCTGTTTATACGTACTGTAAATGCATAAATAATGGGGTGGATGAAATATGGCATACGTAAAATTCCTGTTACGTAAAGATCTTTGGAACATAGGCATTATGCAGGTCTGGGTTTGTCTGTAATCATGTTTCAACAATGGCTATAGATCTGTTGCTCTGGTTTATCACAATATTGTATAAACAGATTACAATTGACAGTTATAAAATGAGAGTAGTGGAAACAACAAATTTGCTACGTGGAAGGTGAATACTGTAAATGCGAACAATGAGATCATCAGGCAGATATAAACCGTTGACCTCCTTCCGCAACGATTATTTCATTTGTTGTGCGTCAGTGGTCCGGGTGGTCGGGTTAATGCTGTCGTTCTGCTATAGTTCTGCTATCGTCCTATCGATATATCATAAGTAACTTTGTGTGAGTGCATGTGAGGCCCACTGTAACAAAATTACGTTGACATAGTGACGCCGCCCCCATTTTTATAGTTATCCTGTCAGAAAAGCTATTTCTGGTTCTGTAGTTTTCTTGTGTCTGTGTGAAAGAGTTTCCAGAGATCTCTGCCTCTAATTTTTGACCGCTGTGATAAATTTCGTGATAACATCTGATGCCGAGGGAGTGTCTTTGCCTCGTCAGCGCTGAGGACGAACACACGGCGCTGATATCTCCATTTTGCCTCCATAATCTGATAATCAAATGTCCGGTCGGCGTTGTCGACCAAGTTTTGACAGTGCTTCCTGGAAACCGTTGCCAGCTTTGATTAAAGCACTTTGATATTGTCTTTATTTGAACAGCTGTATTTTAGGTCAGTTCAGCATTTCGTTGTCTGAAGTACGGTGGTTTGCGTCCTGTGAATTTTCAAAGTATGTATTCGATTTTTGCATAAAGATTTTAGTATTGCTATAATCTGACTGATATTTTCCGTATCCATGACATGTGATTTACTAAAGCATATAAAATTGTGCTTGTCAGATGCGATACATATGTGAACACTTTGTTTGTCTGATATCTGAGACTTTGATTCCATGGATGAACATTTAGGAGTTTAATCCGGGGTACGGCATTTTCGATTTGCTTAACGACCTATGGGCGAACGAGTCGATAATAGCGACATTCAATTTTATCCAATCCCTTCTTCCTTCCCAAGCAAGCTGTTTCGTTGGTGTCACCTTTACAGATTGTCGATAGTTAAGAGGAAAATGAGGCCTACATTCAGCCGATGATGTTCACCACCGTTACATGGACACTTTCGATCGAATTGCCAAATGGTCGTTCAGGTAGTTGTCAGGCGGCTGATTATATAAATGTCAAATAGTTCGGAGGGTTCGTCGATCTCAACTTTTACGGTCATAATGAATTTACTAGATCTAAAATTAAGGCCCAATCTCTAGCACTATAAGTGGGCTGTTAAACGGTTATCCACGTCCACCTTTAGCGCATCTAGGTATGGGATTAATGCAGCAGTGTGGACAAATTATGGTTTTGTTAATAATTAGTCTTTTCCATACTGAGACAGGTCACACAATGACCAAAGGCAAGACTGCCTGCATGCTTTAGCTGACGGGCTATCTGGCAGGATTATGACAAATCGTGAGTTGCGAAGCAGTGAATTCTCAAGATGATCAAATTGTCTCTGGCGTTAAGCAAAACGGACCCTAGTCAAAATCTGCCCATCAAACAGTGTACTTCTCCATGTATAATGGCGATTCATAGTTTTAGACCAAAGGAAGATCCTGCAGGTGATTGACGGACGATATCAGAAATTGATGATGAAAATTATGCCTTAACATCACTTGATCCATCATGGCATGAAAAATACGGGATGAAAACATTTTACAAAGTCCCATATTACTATGATAATTATGATAATGTGGCAGTTGAAAAACAACAAGCAACATAATCACAACTGATAGAAGTAATATTCTGTGGTCTTTCAATAGCTAATTAGGTGCATTTATTATTATATAATAAAACTAAAATCAAGGGTCAGTAATTTTCTAATTTTCGTAATGGCTGATTCTCTAAGACAGAATCCTATTTTAAAATATTTTTGGCTACAGTACTTTTTTCGAGACTGACTGTTCGTTATCTACATATTGTTACTGTTATCTTCGTGTGAAAGCCTTCGGATACTATTTCCTTGCAATTATTGGGCTCATCTTAATGACGGCTTTAGAACAAGATATGTTTGACCAGATTTAAATGCTGCCATAAGTTTTGCGAAGACGATTTTAGTTTATCAGCTAAAATAATGTTAAGTCAAAGCCGGCTTCAAAATTGTACTTAGGCACCCTATGTTTTACTGAATCCTTGCCTTAACCGCTGATAAGGGAAAGTTGTTTAATAAATTCGGTATACCTCTGCGATTTCTTTTTGCGTATTAAATCGATGATAATTGTTTGGCGCTTTATTTTGGAAAATGAAACTATTAAATATAACTTCAGCACCTTTCTCAGTGGTAGTAAGAAAATACAGTACAAAGACTACAGTAAGATGAGGATGGCCAGAAATCTGCCAAATTTCAGCCAGATACGGGTAAGGAGCAGACACCGTTATTTTCACTGCCATTTTCCTTTAGGACATCACTTCCGCTGTTCGAATTACAAAGTGCCCACCCCTCCTAAGACTTTCTGATGCAATACAATCTGCCGTTCGTCCGCAAGCGAGCGGTCAAGGACCAATTATCATTACGAAATTTGCTAATAGCTTCCGGGACCGCAAGCCATTATATTATGACTGGATACCACATCGACTTCGAGGGAACAAGACCCTTCTTTGAAAGTGTCGTGCTAGAAGCATTCCTGATTCAGACAACAGGAAATTACTGTAGGCTAGATTTGTCGTATTAACCTACAAAGGACTTGTTTGGTCAAAGCCATTCTGATTCGATGTAGGGTCATTTCTTTGGACGGCCATTTTCTGTCGAGATGACAGATGGCTAAGAACAATCTTATTGGCCGGAAGTAATATTGATATGATATCATACTGCTGATCTTTACTTTTATAAGTAAACATTTATGCCTATATAAGTATACAGGAATGTTTAGTGAGTTTGATCACTTAACCGGAAACTCTGGCCGACACCTACTGTCATCTAAACAGGAATTTGTCTTTAGTGATTATTTCTAGTGGGGCTTTCCCATCGTTATTTATGTCTCCCACGAAATTAAGTTTCCTTGGATTATAATGAGTATGATCCAATTCGTCATCAGGTTCATGCTGAGCTGCTCCATGGCTTAGCTAACCAGGTGAGAAATAGATTTTTGGGAACAAATATAAGGATGATGGTCCTGGTACGGCTTTTTATGTACTAAATTAGTGTAACGCGTCACATGTCCTGTAGAAATCGTTGACATTAGATCGCTTAAGGGCATAGATTGCTTGATCGTTTTCGTTGCCATGGGCCAAAGACAAATTAACAGACTGGAAGTTTTTTATTCTTATTTTCCAGGATGCAGTTTCAGCAAATAATGATTCTGATTTCTTAGGTTCATTTAAACTGTGTGCCACGTGATGGAGCATCATGTGGCCTAAA